GAGAAACAGGATGTAGACCCAGCAGGGCGCTGACGGCACCCGCAGGGCCAAGTGCACTGTGGGAGAGCACGTGCGCACCGGGAGCTCTGGGCTCCCCCATCATTCACTCAGCAAGGGGGGGAGAGATGCCAATGGGCAGTGGATGGGAGCCCCAGACAGGCACCGCCAGGGGTGGGGACAGCAGGCGTTGGGCCTGCAGTGCCGAGGCCCCTGTGCACGAAGGATCTATCTCCCTGGGCCTGATCTGCCGGGAAGGCTTGGCTCTGCCTTCCTGTCTTAAGATCATCAATGAAGGCACTTGTCCTTTAGAGTCCTAGTTCCAGATACGGCGAAGCTTGAGGAAGCAAACGACAGTCAGCCGGGATCCCAGCCCGAGACACACCCGGTCCCTGTGTGGCTGTCAGCCCCCCTTGACCTGTCGAGTTTGTAGGGGGACATTGTCCTGTGCAGGTGGTACTGCTCCTTCTTTTCTCCGGACCATTGGGTCCCTGAGCATATTTCTGTGCCGTGAACACTCATCATTCTAGTGGCTGCAGAGGAGGGTAGGCTAAGGGGCTGGGCCATGCTCCTCTCGGCTCTTCCTCCCCGTGGGAAATCACGAGGGGAGCACTTACCAAACACTTAGTGGGTGCCGGCCTCAGTGTGTGCAGTCCCCACCAGACCACGTGAAGGGAGGAAATGGCTTCTCTCCGGCTGGCAGAGGGAATGATGGTGACAAATCTGGGTCCAGATCCCAGCTGTCACTGAGCTGCTGTGTGGCCTCAGACTAGTTGCTTAGCCTCTCTGAGCTGCAGTTTCCTTACACAAGGATATAATATAGGAACCCCACAAATCCCCCAATGTAAATGAAGTTCCCCATTTGGTCTTTGTCCCACTCGTGGCCACTGGTGTCTGACGGTTTTCTCCTTCCTTTGGGTCTTCCTCCCCTGTGACGTGGGCCCCTGGAGGCGGGACCGTGTCTGTTTTCTTTGGCTCCCTAGCACCAGGCACAGCGCCCAGGCTGCAGCGGGCCCTCTGTGCTGTTCTGGTGAGCAGATGGGCTGTCGTCCTGTGCCGGACGCGGCATGAAGCTTAAAGAGGACCGGGTGGGGGAGAATGCTGGTGTGGGGGACACATGACACAGGCGCAGAACTCTCAAAGCTCAGAATATCCCACGGCACCTCGGGGTTCAGGGGAGCTTCTGTGCAAGACGGACTCCGGGTTCGACTCCTGCCTCCATCACCCATGGAGGGTGACTTTGGGCCTTTATATCCTACAAAGAGTGGGCAATAACAGCCTTCAACTTGGGGGCTGTGCAGGGGTTCCAGCTGGCTGTCACCTCTGTCCGGATGGCTCTGGGGGGAGGGAGGGCTGGAGCACCGCCATTGCTGAGAGGCCCTGGCCAGTGTGGGCTCACCCCCACCAGAAGTCATGTGGGCCCACCACCCCCGGCTGTCACAGCGGTCACAGGTCAGGTCCTACTTACTGGGAGGCCACAGGCCTTTGTCCCCCCCTCTCACCTCCTCCTCACCAGTCACAAGACTCAGGAGGATGGAAGCTAACCGTCTGCCCCAGAGGGAAGGGCAGGCCCGGAGGCGTTGAGCTACCCTGAGCCCTTATTTTACAAACCCAGCTTAAGAGTAAATCCCGGGCCGCTGACCCTCCCCAGCTGCTCCCTGTCATGGGAGTTAATTAAGAGGAGGCAGCCTTGGGTTCCCAGGGCCCATAAATCTGCCCCCTCCCGGCCCACCCGCCCCACGCTCCTCTCAGACCCCTGCCTGCCTCCTGCTGCCTGGGGCTCACCTGCATCCTGGCCCTGGGTGGGCCTCTTCTTCCGTCAGCTGTCCAGGGGTGGCAGCAGGCGGTTCTGGGCAGGGGCCACCTGCTGGGCCTGCCGAGCTCTACCGGCCAGTGCCCTGATGCCCAGAGGGGCCGGGTGGCGGACTTGAGGAAGAAGAGAGGCCCAGGACGAGAGAGCGGCTGCAGTGGCCGCAGCGGCCCCAGCCATTCCTGTTCCCTCCACTCAGCTGCCTCACCGTCCACCCGCCATGGACCAGCCCTGGCCACGTTGCCACCGTGCAGCTGCACCTGGGTCTGAAGATGGGAAGGCGCACAGCCTGGCCCTCGGGGACTCTGAACCAAGGGCCCGGGGACGTGTCAGGCAGTGCTGCACACACAGAGACACAATGAGGCCCATGCACACCCCCTGCCCTGAGCCTCATTTTTATTTGAGACTAAAACCCCCCACTCGCCCTGTTTCCAGGGCCTCTGACCTGGCTCCTGGCCTCGCCGCTCAGCCCAGGGCGGTTTGAAGCTCTGGGGAACCCCGGGTCTTGCAGACTGTTGGTCTCAGCAGACCCTGTTGAAGGTCCTGAGACCCTGAACAACTCCGTCATGGAGGATGGGATGGCCTCAGCCTTAGGGAGGCCATTTAGCTGCCTCCCACGCCGCCCTGCCTATGCCCCCGAACTTCCATTCATCCACGCAACGAAGAGCGCAGGCTGGCTGGGCACAGGGGGAGAAACGCGCAGACTGGAGTCAAGGGCCTTGGGGCCCCCAGCCCCGTGGGTTTGGGGTGGGGAGTGGAGTTCTGAGCAGAGGCCTGAGGAAGCCAGTCCCCCGGCCACCAGGGGTGTCCCCCACAGTGCCTCTAAAGGAAATGGCCAAACCTCAGGGTCCCGCCTGGGTGCAGGCCCCACCCATGGAACGAAGGGGTATAACTTCACCTCCCTCACCTCAGCCCTGTGTCCATCTTGGGCTTGTCCTTCCAGCCACATACGTGAGGCTGGCCTCTCAGTTCCCCTGACTGCTCGTTTCCTGGGCAGACGACACTGGGGCTTGAGACCCCTGCCCTCCTTGTTGTACTTGGGAACTTGGGGGTCCAGGAAGAATTACTCTGGCCTCACAGCCCCTGGGCCCTCAGTGCCACCTTTGCTGGAACCCCACGCACACCTGTTTGCCAAGAAGAACCCAACATGCCCAGAATGAAGGGCACCCATCTCGGCTGCTGCCCCGGACCCTCCGAGGTGCCATTTGTGCTCCCAGGCCTCTGGACCCGTGCACCTTCCAACAGGCCCCCGACTTTAAGCTTTGCCTCTCTCAACTTGCCCTGAGACTCTGAGTCCCCAGCCTCACCAGACCCAAGGGAACTGTACAAGCTCCGGGGTCCTGCTTCCCTTCTGTGTTGGAGATGGGGTGGGGTTGGGCAGGGACCAGAGCAGGAGAAAGGAGGCCAAGGATCACGTTCACTCACTCAGAGATACTCAGAGGGTGGGTGGATGTGGATGGATGGATGGTGGGATGGATGGATGTGGATGGATGGATGGTGGGATGGAGTGGGGTGGATAGAAGGAAGGGATGATGGATAGATGGGACGAAGGATGGATGGACAGACAGATGGGGTGACAAGGAAGGATGGCAGGAAACAGGTGGAGAGGAGCAGGCTGGTGCTACACTGCCTTCCCAGAACAGATGCCGCGTCCATTCTTCCCCGTGAAGTGCCTCTCCAGCCTGGCGGAGCACGTCCCAGGTCTGTGCTCAGTTGACCGACCAGAGAGGGTCTCTTGGAGCCTGTCTGACTGCAGCTCGTTTGCCCTTGGTGGGCCTCTGGGTCAAGGAGAGGCCCTGGGGCGTCCTCCCCAAACCCATCCTGTGGGTCAAGACTGTGATTAAAACGAGCTGAGCGGCGGGGCAGGTGGGTTTTCCAGCCCGGCTTTCCCGGAGTTGTCTTGGCGGCTGAGAAAACGCTTTTATTTTCTTTCTGAAACGCCTTCAAATGTTTTTAAAACTCTGATAAAAAAATCAAATTCACTGGAGACCACAGCACCTTTGGTGTGTCCTTACGAGCCCCACCCACCTGGGGCCTGGGCTGCCCGAGGGACGCTGCCGAGATCTCAAGGTCGACAGCTGCTGAACTGTGACTACTGACAACTGATCGGTGTGACTGCGCCCTGCCTTCGTCACAGAGCAAACTACAGAAACCGGCTGGATTCCGGCCCGATGTCATTGGCCCTCCATCTGTAACACCCACTGGAAGGTGCCCACCTTCCCAACACAGGCTTTCCATCTCTTTAGTTGCTTTCAAAGGAAGAGAATACGGACTTGGACTGTAATTTATTCCTTGTGCAGGTTCCACATGTTGGGGTTTCCATGTCGGGCTTTACTTTTCAAGGAGGCGTTTCACTGATCATTTTAAAGAGCAACAGAAGGAACCAAAGCAGACCCGTCGGCCCCAAGGAGCCTCTCACCTCTCCTCTCTCGGCTGGTCTCCAGCCCCAGCCTTCCCTCCCTCTGCACCCCCTGAATCTTAGTCCCCCTGCCTTCAACCCGTTTACCAGCAGGGGCCTCGCTGGACCCCAGGCCACGTCAGGAGCTGTGTCAAGGTCAAGGTCGAGAAACAACTGAGCTTCTCTGCTGAGCCTTTGTGGCCGGCCGCTCATAAGTTTGTCCAGCCCTTTTCAGAATCCTTTCTGGGTCCTGCCGGGGTCACCTCCTAGTATAATGAGTCCTGGGTTTATTAACTGGGGGGGCGAGGCAGTTCCCTCCTCAGCAGGAGCCTGGCTGCCTCTCATCCCGGCCCTCCTTCTGCGTGTGACCGAGTGTGACCAAGTGTGACCACAGCTGGGTGGAAGGCTGGGTTTACCCACTGCGCACCTCATCCCCTGAGCCTCCCAGTGCCATCTCCTGGCTGGCGCTCCTAAACCTGGCTCTGGACCTAATTGGTGAGAAAGCCAGGTTGTTCCTACCTGAGAACCTTTGGGAACATTCTACAGAAAGGGCGTGGCCATTGCCTCTAACCATGCAGGATAAGCGGAATTGGGCTGGGAGCACGTGTCCTGCTGGAAGGAATGCGTAAGACTCGCAAATAACCCATCAACGGGTCGGTCAGAAATGGACTCAGAAACTCTGGGTTCACTTCGGAGCAGGCTGGATCCCTTTCGAAAAATCACATTGTTCGTTTGCTTTGCATGCACTCTTTGGATGGAATCGGCTTGTTCAGTGCTGTTATTCCTTCCTTCCAGATCGTTCTGTGGGGCCGGACCGAGAAATGCCTGAAAGAGACGACAGAGGAGATCCGGCAGATGGGCACGGAGTGCCACTACTTCGTCTGTGACGTGGGCAGCCGGGAGGAGGTGTACCAGACGGCCAAGGCCGTCCGGGAGAAGGTGAGCAGCCGGGAGGGCCCCCCTCAGCTCGGCGCGACACCGAGCCCAAGAGAGCCTTCTCGGGAGGCCCGGGACACGGCGCTGCTGGTGGCAGAGCGGCTGTTTCCAGAGTGTCTCCGGGGGGCCCTCCCGTGAAGCTGGCCCATGCTGTTTGTACGTGCGTGTGTGATTCAGGGGGCAGGCATTGGGTGCGTGGGTTGATTACATGACAGAAGTAATCATCTCTTGTCCCCTTTGGAATTTAGACCTTGTGACTGTGTCTCCTAGGCCCTGGGGCCAGTGGCGGGGGAGGGGTGGGCAGTGTCCCACTTCCGTCCAGGAAAACCCTGCCACTGACCCCAGCCATCTGTGTAGGCTGAGTGTGTCAGTGACCTCCAAGAGCACAGAAACCGCCTCAATAAGCACATGGTGAATGTCAACAGCTTTTACATGACAACAGCCTCATTTATTACAAATGTGCAGTGTGCCGGGGATAGTATGTGCCATAAATTATTTCCGATCCTCAGAACAACTCTGGTATGTTCATTAGCACCACCTTACAAACCACAGCCAATGCTCAGAAGGGTGGTGTGGCCCCAGGTCACATGGCAGGGTCCACCCCTGTAGGGCGCAGGCCCCTGGGACTGCCCTAATGGAGCCTGCGGCCCGTGTCCACTGCAGGTGGGCGACATCACCATCCTGGTGAACAACGCCGCCGTGGTCCACGGGAAGAGCTTGATGGACAGCGATGACGACGCCCTCCTCAAGTCCCAGCACATCAACACCCTGGGCCAGTTCTGGGTGAGGACTCCTCCGGGCGGGCCCAGCCCTGGCTGGGGACGCTGACATGTTCCTTCCGTCCAGGGGGCCTGGGTGCTGTGAGGGAGCAAGGAGAGGCTCACCAGGGCTGGGGCTCAGGCTGGGAGGGATGTCCAAGGACAGGGCGGCCGGTCAAGAGGAGTGACCAGGTGGACTTCCTGCGGCAGGCAGCCCTCAGCCCCGTCCTGACCCGGAAAGACTCTGTCACTGGGGTCGTGTGTGTGTGCAGGGCGGTCTGTTCTCCCTGAGGTGGGGGGCAAGGGGCTCTAGGGGCACGGCTGCTCCCCGCTGACCTCCCTGCCCGCCCTCAGACCACCAAGGCCTTCCTGCCTCGCATGCTGGAGCTGCAGAACGGCCACATCGTGTGTCTCAACTCCGTGCTGGCTCTGTCCGCCATCCCTGGCGCCATCGACTACTGCACCTCCAAGGCCTCGGCCTTCGCCTTCATGGAGAGCCTGACCCTGGGGCTGCTGGACTGTCCAGGCGTCAGTGCCACCACCGTGCTGCCCTTCCACACCAGCACCGAGATGTTCCAGGGCATGAGGATCAGGTCAGTGAGCTGGGTCCCGCAGGCAGATTGGACGAGGCGGGAGGTTCAGTGTGCAGAGAGAGCACAGAGGCACGAATGACCCGGAGCCCGTTCTCTTCGGCACCTGGTTCTCCACCTGCAAGACGGCGGGATGCTACAGAGGTGTAGGTGTGGGGGCGACTTCTCCGCAAGTCCCCCCGGTGCCACGGACACTCGTGAATGAATAAGAATATGGCTGAGAAGATGAGATCTGTTTGGGGAGGAGGAGTGGGCTGTGGCCAGTTTCTCAGGGGAGACAAAGGCCAGCAGTGGCCAGTTTCTCCGAGGAGAAAAAGGCCCGAGCGCCCTCTTCCATAGCCTTTTATTGGGTTGTAATACACAGGAATACAGGGCGGCAAGGATCAAACAGTAGATAACATTTCAAAGAGATCTGAGAGCTTCAGAGTCTGAGTCAGTGTCTGTCAGGAAGAGAATTGCAGAAACTCTGGGAGACATACTCAGTTCCTCTCGGACCCTTCTCATATCAATGAAAGCACTCTTAGCAGATTTCACAGTTTTATCAGCAAGTCTTTGTGGTGCCAGATTTTCCCCCAGGACACACTCTAGCAAGGCAAGGAGCTGCACCCCTCCCCAACAGGTATTCAGACTTAAGGGGATTAGAGCCAGGAAGCGCTTCTCCCAGAAGACATGGGGACTCGGGCTTTGTCAAAGCTGGGGGGCGAGAGTCCATTGCTCTTTGTTGCAGCCCCCCAAGTCCTTCCATGAAGGCCTCCCAAGTGATCGAGTCTGGCTTAGGTTGCCCCCCCACTGTGAGGGGTCTTACTCGTTATTGACTTCTGACCAAGCTCTGGGGGCAGGGAGAGGAACCGAGGCAACATTTGCTACCAGAGACAGACTTTGTCTCCTGCAGCTGGCATTCCAAAGGTCATCTCTCGCCTTTAGCCACAAGGGGTAGAGGTACAATTCCTAGAACTAGGCAGAGCGCTCTACTACATGCAGGGTCCCGTGTCCAGGGCAGAGAGTGCCGGTCCACGTGTGAATCTCAAAGCTTTATATTACGCAAAAGAAGCCAGAGACGATAGGGCTCATTCTGTGTGATTCCGTTTGTATGAAGTTCTAGGCAAAATGGAGCCATGGCATTTTGGGAGGGAACCAAGTCACCCTTGGAGGGGTGGGGTAAGCGTGCAAGGGAGCACGAGGGAACTTTCCAGGCTTTTAGAAACATTCTCTCTTCTTGATGGGGGCACTGGTTACATGGGTAAAAATGAACCTCACTGTGCACTTAAGGTTAATGCCTTCGTTGCATGCCAGTCACAGGCACTTGGCTCGTGTGTGCCGTGTGTGCTGTGTGGGGGTCACTCGGCACGGCCTCGAGATGATGACCCTGTGTGGTTTTGGTGATCAAGAATCAGAATGCCTGGTTTCAGTGCCATCTCACCTGTGCGCAGCTGGGAAATCCTGGGCCAGTTTTGTTACCTCTCTGAGCTTTCCTTTGCTCATATTCTTGGTGGGGTTATTGGGAGAATTAAAACCAACACAGGTAACAACTAGAGCAAAGCCCGGGGCACACTCGGTGCTCAGTAACGAGCCCCTGCTCTTGTTATCCTTATTGACCGTGAACGTTTTCCTAAGTGCACCTGTTAGTAATCTTGCTAACAGACTGTCTCTCCAGTTCATCACAGAAGTAAACATGGCCACCGGACTTGCCTGTAAATTATCGTAGACTCTGAATTTAGAGGAGGCTGGATTAATGACTGTTAATGTTCCGAGTTGGCTCCCTCTGCCCAGGAGGCCTTGGGTTGGTTTCTTTTCATCTGGGCATACAGCAAGTGCTCAATGAGTGCACATTGGATGGAACCGCCGCAGCGGCAATCTTGGTTTTAATGGGGGGCCAGGGTGCAGAAGTGGGCGGGACACTGGCAGAATCTGCCTTCCAGCACTTTAAGACGGAAATACACGGATTTTCTCAAGTCATTTTTTTCACAGTTGCGAGTGTGGGCCCAAACTGCCTGTGTCACTCTGGGCAAGTCACTTTTCTGTGCCTCGGCTTCCTCATCTCTGAGAAGGGGTTGACAAGAGTGCCCCCTTCCTTCTTCACAGGTTTGATGCTCCTGGGTGTGAATAACTAGCCTGCCTGGCCAGCAGTAAGCTCCAGCAGGTGGGTCCATCCAGCCTGTTGGCACCTCTGGGCCACACTGGAAGGAGAAGCGTTGTCTTGGGCCACACATGAAATACATGGCGACATGTAATCACACACACACACAAAATCTCGTGATGTTTTAAGTAACTTTATGATTTTGTGTTGGGCCGCGTTCTCAGCCGTCCTGGGCTGCATGGGGCCCGTGGGCCGCAGGTTGGACGCCCCCGCTAGACGAAGGTTGCTTACCTGTCGGGCAGGAAGCCCCGAGAGTTCGGGAGAAGACTAGGGAAAGGGTGCTTGGTGTTGACTAGCGCCTAACCAACTCCCACTTCCTGAAAAAAGTAGAAAAGCATTGGCTTCCTCCCTGACCAGGCTTAGCAGCTTCCCAGGGTGGAGAACGGGAGACAGATGTTTAGGGCAAAATTGACGGGTTTCCCGGCAACAGCGGCTGTATAGTTGGGTGCTGTTATTCATTCATGGCCGTTGACTGACCTCTGTGTTCCTCCCTAACAGACGGTCTACAAACTCTGCTGCATTTGGCCCCAGCACCCCCATGAGAAAGCTCCTGCCCCCATTTCACAGACAGGGAACTGAGGCTCAGAGACGCAAAGTGACTGGCCCAAGGCCAGACAGATCGCAATTGGCGAAGCATGCTCTCCCCAGAGTCTGCGCCCCCTCCGTGGGAGTGGATAGCCGGTGGTTCCCAGATGCCCCTCCCACCCGCCGTGGAGAGAAAGGAGAACAGGGCCCCTCGCTCAGGTTCTCCTGCGGTCTTGCCCCCGGCCCTCGCCTTCCCTCCCCCGGCAGCAGGGTGGGCCCAGGAGAGGACTGGAAAAGCAGACGTCTGTAGGGTTCCCACACCCGTGAGCTGCCTCAACACGCTCAGCCCCAGGGACCCTGGCGGCCGGCCTTCCTTCCTGACTGCAGGCCCTGGGACCTCAGCGGCTTGTTGTGACAGCAGAGGAAGCCCAGGGCGGGGGCTGAGATCTGTAGACTCTCTGAGGCCATCCCAGTGGGCGTGGCGGGGCCGGAGAGTTGTCCTTTGCTCAGGGTGGCTCCAGACCCAGGCGACTCACCGCCCTTAATCCTCCTGGTGCCAGAGCAGCTCACAAGCTCTTTAGGACAGAGGTCAGAGGCAGCGCCACTGCGAGAGGTGCCTCCAGGCCCCAGAGGGGTGGGACAGGCAGTGCATGAGGGCGGGGCTGGAGCCTGGGGCCCTGTGCAGGCCTGGTTTGAATCCCTCATCCCCCCCACCCACGCCCCAGAGCCTCAGTTTCCTCCTCTGTAAACCGGAGTGAGTGATCCCCGGTGCACACCACACACAGGCTGGGCCAGTGGAGCAGCATCAGTCTGTGGGTCTCAGGCGGGATGCCTGCGAACAGGCACGAGAAGCCCCTGACGTCGCTTATTCGGTCACATGTTCGTGTGTCAGCCACAGGGAGAGCACTCCGTAAATGTCTCAGGGAAGCGGCGAGCAGCGGGCTGGGCAGGGGCCCTGTTCCCGGACGGTCTGAGCAGGGGAACGGCCACTCGTGCGTGCCAGTTCATTCGGCAAGCATTTCTCTAATTTTTGAAAGAATTTATTCATTTATTTTTAAAGAAGAGGGAAAAGGAGGGAAACACAAAGGGAGAGAAAAACATGGACCAGTTGCCTCTTGTACACACCCCAGGGACTGAATCCAAAACCGAGGCCTGTGCCCTGACCGGGAATTGAACCGGTGACCTTTTGCTTTGTGGGACGATACCCAACCACTAAGCCACACTGGTCAGGGCTCAGCAGACTTTTCTGGAGCTCCTATTAAGTGCCGGACCCAGCCCACGGGGAATACGCCAGAGCGAACCCACCAGGCCTCTGCCCTTGTGGAGCTCAGTCTGAGGGGCAGACAGACCACTGACAAGGACACAGACAAACAGACAAGGCCCTTGTGGATGTAAATGCATTGAAGCAAATTAGCAGGGGGACGAGACTAGAAACCACGGTGAGTGGACGAGCTGAGATGCCTCCCTGAGCAGGAGCTGGGAGGAAGGAGCCCGGCCGGTGAGCCAGCTGGTAAAAGACCCTGAGACAGGAAAGAACTTAAGTGGCAGGAACCAAAGTACTGGCTGGGGTGGCTGGAGCCAAGTGAGAAGGGAAGGGAGGGGCCAGGCGGCAGGCACTGCCACCCTCCCCTCCCGGCGGGCACCACAGTAAGCCGGGCTCTAGAGCGCCGGGAGGGATGGAGCCGTGGCGGCTCAGTGGGCGGACTGCAGATGTCCTGACATGTCTGTGGGCAGAGGGAGGAAGAGGGTGAAGATCCCAAACAGGACTCAAGTCTCCCAGTCTCAGGGATGACGACGCCAAAGGGATGACCCAGACCTGTCAGCCACGGTGGCTTTCGGCAGAAGCACCTGCGTCTCCCGGAGAAACCCACAGAGTCTCTTCTGCCTTCAGGTTCCCCAACCTCTTCCCGCCTCTGAAGCCGGAGACGGTGGCCCGGAGGACAGTGGAGGCCGTGCAGCTCAACCAGGCGTTCCTGCTGCTCCCGTGGACCATGCACGCCCTCATTATCTTGAAAAGGTATGGGGCTGGGAGAGCGTTCAGGGCAAGGCTCCCGCCAACCACTGACCCTTCTCCTGGAGAAGAGGCCTCGCGCACGCGCGATCGATTAGTCATGTCTGCTGTGGGCAGAATGGGACAGCGCTGGCTTGCATGCCAAGGGCTTCTGTCCTTAATGTGGGGCAGCGGTTCTCACACTTGCTGGTCTCAGGACCCCTTTACAACCTTAAAAATCCCCGAGGCACCCAAAGAGCTTTCGTTTATGTGGGTCGTATCTATTGCTGTTTACCGCATTAGACATGAACACGGAGAAGAAATTTTACAGGATTTATACATGTGTGTATATTTACAGTATTATTTATTTATAAACAACAGTGAAAATCTGTCAACGTAAATGATTTTTTTAAATGAAAAGTCAGTAAATTCTCAGAAAAGACAAAAGAATGTAGGGAGAAGAATGGCATTGTTTTACTTTTTTTTGGGCAAAACTCTTTATTGTGTAACATAATTGAAGACAACTGGATTCCTATGTCTGCTTCTGATTTTAATTTGTTGTGATGTCACACGTCCTTTAATCTGTGTAGCTTCTGGAACACTTGAGTGCACACTCGTGACAGAGTGAGCAAGAAGGCAAACAACAACCTAGTGTCATTACAGAAGTAGTTCGGCCTCGCAGACCACCGCGGGGGTCTCAGGCGCCCCAAGGGTTCCTGGGCCACGCTTTGAGAGCCCCTGCTCAAGACTAGTAGTCGGCCCCAGGCTCCAGGAAGTTTCCGCTAATGGGGAAGACAGAGCTTCTGGTGCCAAAGTCTCAGGACACATTTGCCAGGAATCACGTTCTCTAGAACTTTCCCAACTTTGGACAGTGAACCCTTTCCATCCGAGTCTCACACTAAAAGGGCCGCTCCATCCCGCCCGCCCACCGTTGGACTCCTGGCTGCTCTGGGCCCCCAGCCGTCTCCAGCCCCACCCCCTGGCTGGCCGAACCCCTCTGACCCGAAAGGCCTTTTCAGGAAGTGAAACACCCCAGTTCCCTTACCAGTTATCGACTCCCAGGAAACCGGCTTCCCCTCTGGCTGCATGTCACATGGGCTCCAGCTGTGGACACAGAAACCTTCTAAGGGAGGGGACACCCTCACCAGTCCTTTCTCCTCCAAACTCAAAGCCCTTTCCGAGACACAGAGCAGGGGATGGCGAGTGGGGGGGGGCAGGGGGAAGGCGCCTGAGGGCATAGTGTGGCCTCCCATGGTCCATACTGACCATTGCTCTGAGATGCTCCTCAGCTACTTCTGTGAGTCACCAGGAGAGCAGGGACTTGGGCTCGCACCAAAGCCAGCTGCCACCTCCACCTCAGGGAGCTGGTTAGAAGCCTTTCGGAGATTTAGGGAAAAAAAAGCTGGTGTATCTGGAACATCTCAGCACTCTTACAGTGAGCTGCCAGCCCACGTTTCCTGTTCTGTCCCCTGCGACTTCCCCACAGGGAGCAGCGGCCACCTTTCTCCCCATTCCCTGCAGTACACCCTCTCTTCACCTACCCCAAGAGAAATCTTTACAGGCTCAATACCATTGCTGCCACCTCCAGGAAGCCTTCCAGATTGCCCTCGCTGGAAGGGGGCCTTTCCCATCTTGCACCTAGTGTGGGCCAGGGCCCTTCCATTTGATTCAACAAATGGACTGAGTCCTTCTCATGCCTGGCCCAGTGCAGGGACCAGAATCAGAGGTGACATATCTGCCACAAAGTCCCGCATGGGCTTGACAAGTGAACAGTGAGGACAACACCAGGGTTTAGTGGGGGAGCCGTGGACTGTGGGGAGCCCAAGGAGAGGCCTGGGCGTGAGTCCAGGAAGTGGCTCTGGAGGAGGTGACGCCCAGGACCTAAGTGCTCAGCCCCACACGGTAAATATTTGTTGAATAAGTGGCATTCGGAGTTCACTGATCTCTGAGATACCTGTGGGCCCTAAAATGCAAAGAATGTGGCTTTGACAGTTTATTTTTCCCCACCCACCCTTGGCCTTGTAAACAATCATTTATTCACTTACTCGAAAGCGCTTCCTCCATGGAGGGGCGGGCGGGGGTGGCATGTGGGCACCACTCTACTACGCCCTCTGGGCAGCCACTGGTGACCCAGCGGCTGGTCCCCCACCCCACTGACCATCTTCTCTTTCTTTCCTCTTTGCTCCCCCACCAGCATCCTCCCACAGGCTGCCCTGGAGGAGATCCACAAATTCTCAGGAACTTATACCTGCATGAACACTTTCAAAGGACGGACATAAAGGCGGGACACAGGCACACTCAAAAGCCACGGAGCCTGCAGGGACCGTGGCCACCTGGGCACACTTCTGCGGGGTGAGCAGGACTGCCCCCTCCCAGGGAAGAATCCGCCTGCCCCCTAAGCCAGCCACAGGACCTTTGCACAGGACTGACCGGCATAACTCTGACCCCCATGGGGAGGCAGGAAACCAGCCAGCAGCCGCCTTGATACTTTTGTACATTTCTATTCTGTAGAGTTTATTGTTAAATTGCTTCTCAAGTCTAATCAGCCTCAGCAGTGTGCAAAAACTATTTTCTGGGAGGGTCTGGGTGCCAATGTTCCCCTTCCCCTCTGGAATCCACTCACCCATAGCTTCTGCAAACCGGTGGAACGGCAGGAATGAAAAATAAAGAGAGATGGCTTTTGCGAGTTCCTTTGTTGAAATCCTTGGCCCCTGGTCCTTGGTGGGCAGAGGGGAGGGGACCCATCCCAACCACAAAACCCCTCCCTTTAAGAGAATAGGTCTGTTTGGGGTCCCAGCTGCCAGGAGTGAAATGGGCGAGAAAGTTTGGGAGAGACGTCGGAGCCCTGGCCTGGGGACACGTGGTCCTTGCTGACTCCGCCCTGCTCCCCGACAACCAGGGGTCAGGGGACGCTTTGCCTCCCCACCCACTTCCCTGAATAGCCCTCTCTCCGCCCTGCCGTGGCTCCACCAGCCACGAAGCCATCAGCTTCGTGGGTCATATCCTGGGGGTCAGTCTTTACTGACCACCCACTCTCCACCTAGCATGTGCTGGGGGCTAAGAGGGGGATGTTATCAAGAAGTCAAAACTCTGAAGACCACCCGTACCACGAGGTCAGCGCTAAGGGGGTGCTCTGTGCGCTCTGCTGAATTTGATTGCAAGGCATAGAAGGGAAATAACAAAGGAGGGTGGGGCCTGGGAGGGGCCGAGGAGACTGACTCGGGCTCAGCCAATAGGAAAAATGACAGCCGAGGAGAAGTGGGGAGAGAGGCTTGTGGCTCCTCTGGGGTGCATTCTCCACTCCTGCAGCAGCGTAACGAACCTGACCTTGGGCACAGGGCACAGGAATCTCATCTAAGTAGCCTCTGTCTACACAGCTCTTATGGGAGGAAGGGGGTTCAGGGGCAGGAGCAGGCAGTGAGGTCACACATTCACTGGAGGAACTTCTTCCCTGAGCATTGCTTAAAGCCTGCAGGTGCACACCCCCCACATTTGAGGAAGATAAGCCTCACAGCCTGGATGATGGTCAGCCTGGTCCGTGTGCAGAAACGCTAAGTCGTGATTACATCCACCGTTTACTGAGCGCCTCCCAAGGACCACCGGTCCCGAGGCGTAGCATTTCCCTGCGGTTGCCCGCGGTCCCCGGCAGCTGCTCAAGACTGGAAAACGGCTCTCCTTCCAGGACTTTCGAAAGCCACAAGGTGTTTTCAGCCAGGATATGACCCCCAGGTTTCATGCCACCCGCCCTGGGAGGGAGGCTGCCACTCTGCTCTGTGCCGTCTCTTCTCCGGGATCCCGGCTGACAGAGAAGCCTCCGTGGGCCCAGACAATGTCCTCCCGGGGCAGAGGTGGACTCACCTGGCCACACAGACTTGAAAGTTTCTGCCCGGAAACAATGCGTCACTTCACTTGCATTTCATTGTCCAGAACAGGTCGTGGGGCCAAAGCGGCCACGGGTGCAGCTGGGCATGCGGTCCCCACGGAGGAGTGCTTAGTAACTCGGAACTGTTCTACTGTCACACAGCAGCAGATGTCCATACAGGCAGAAGGAAAAACTGACTGCGGGCAGAGGAGGCAGACGAGGCTGCCTTTGGGGCGACATGGTGGCCTCCCAGGTGCTGAGCAGAGGGCCAACCAGGCACTGGCCTTTTGTTTTTTTTTGCAGTGGGGTGTTAGAAAGACCATTTTGCAGGTGAGGAAACAGGCTCAGAGCAGGGAAGTTGTATGCCCCAGTCTGTGGGGCCGTGAGAGCCAGGGTCAGGATTTGAACCCAGCTCCACCTGACCCACAAGCCCCCTCACCTACCGCATCACCTTCATTTTGGTTCTTGCGGACAGTGCCACCAAACCGTGGGGAAGCAGGGGAGAGCGGCACTAATGGGGTCCTCCTGGCACCCTGGCCAGCCTGCTGAGGTTGGGCCCCGAGTGTCCACAGCCTCATGCATCACCCTGCATGTGTCAAGCCACCACGGTGGGCCCCTGGGCTTGGCCTTCCCCACCGCTGTGCCGGCACGCAGGCGGGGCCTGTCGCTGGCACTCAGCCAGGGGCAGACTCCTCGCAGGGAGCAGGGATGGAAGAGGAGGAGCCCCGATGCTTCCGAGCGCTGGCAGGCCTTCACGGAGCATGCACCACAGTGCGTTCGCCCAGTCCCGTCTCCTGCTCACGGCCTGGCCACAGGCCAACCTTCTGGAGAGGATTCGACGCCTGAGGTTTCCATAAAGTTGCATTTGGCTTGCAGGCCTGGAACGTGGCAAGGACCCCGGGGGTCCGAGCGGGCTCGGGCCGCCAGCCCTCCTCAGGGCCTGCTGGGAGCACAGTCGCGGTCTTGGCCGAGGTGGGGCCTTGTGGCTGCCCAGAGCTTCAGGGCCTGGTCCCACCCTCCCCCCCCCCCTCCAATTGGACACTTTTAGTCTTTTTCTGGATCTTTTCCCAGAGGAACCAGGGAAAAAGCCTTGGGCAGGTTCCCAGGAGGCCCATCCTTATTCCTCCCCGAGATGGTTTGGCTGCTTGGAAAGTGAGAGGTGAGAGCTGGTTCCATCCCTCGGGCACAGCCAAGCGAAGCTCTCTGGCGCCTCAAACCCCAAGGGCCAGGACGGGGTGTGCCCCCCCCCAGGAAATGACCTGGTTGCCGTGCCTGGGGCTCCCCGCCATCGCCAAAGAGAACCAGATCGGAGGTGGGCACCCAGCCAGGGGAGACGCCAGACCCAAGCCCCGCTGTGACGGACGTGGTTCCAGGTGACCAGGCTCTCTGGCCTGACAGGTCAGGAATGGGGTCGTGCGGCCACCGGCCTGCTCCCTGGGCCGGGATGTTCTGGTGGACTCTCCTCTTCTCAGACCAAAATGACGGCCAGGTGCGACCAGAGCGACAGAAGTTCTCCGGACTGACCGCAGCACCCCCACCCCCAGCCCTTCTGATGGGCACGCGGCCCACGCCCCTGGGGATGCCCCAGTCTGATGGGGGACCAAAAACAGAAGCCAGGTCCCAAACAGACAAACCCTGCTGCCCAGGTGCTGAGCGGCACAGAGTGGGGAAGCAGTTGCAGGTGGGTGGATGGGCAGGGCTCTTGCAGGGCCCCAGCGGGGCTCGCCCGCTCACCGTGGCATCTCTGGGACTTCTCCCCTAGGGGGTCTGCCTCTCCCCAAGGTGGAGCGGTACAGGCATTGGCATAAGAGCTCAGAGGTCCGTCTGTGAAGAGACCGTCTATATGCAGCCACATGTTGCTTCAGGCAAAGCCAGGCCCTTGGTGTCCAAGTCCCTCGATGCAGAAAGAAGGCCAGGAAGAGCTGTGGGTGCCCCACCACGCTGCACGCCCTTTGGGTAGGGCTGTTGGACTGTGATTTGATTTACCAACATCTGTTAACATACTTCTGTGCATAAACTGGGGCTGCCAGCTGTGGGCCAGAGCCTGGCCTGGGGGCCACTGCCCCGCAGGCATGTGGGTCCAACGGTCCCCACCCACCCACCACCTCTTATGGTTGCCCTGAGGCCCCCGGCTTCTAGCAACCAGACGAGCGCTGAGTGCCCAGCTCCCGCCAGCCTACCAGGAGGCAGAGGACCAGGTGTTTGGGGGCAGGAACCCAGACTCTGGAGTTCCATCTGCTCTGTGACCCCCTCCTGTGTGCGCAGGGTGGACAACATGTCCCTACCATCCTGTGTCCAGTGTGAAGCCTCTAGAAAGTTGAGGGGACCGTGCGATGCTGGCAGTTCCCATCGCTCACTCCCAGGACCCCGCTGCCCCCAGAACACCTCTTGCTTCGGAGGAGCCAGGAGGAGACCACACTCGTCCGCCCGCCTGCATGTCACTGTTTCTCCCCTCCGTGCTGCTCAGCGCCTGGGCAGCAGGGTCTGCCCCTTTGGGACCTGGCTTCCGTTTTCTGTCCCCCGTCAGCCTGGGACGCCCCGCCTTGGCCCGGCCTGGGAGAGCAGGGTCCTTCAAGGCCTGGCGGGCTCCCTGCTGGTTGGTGCGGGCGGAGGCCAAGGCTGGGGGGGGCCCTGAGGAGGACTGAGGAAATGGGCCGCGTGGGACCCTTCTCTGGCATTTCTGCTGTTGCTGGCCATGGGCAGGCCCTTTGCTCCCAAGTCTCTCTGTGGCTCAGGGTGAAAATAAACACAGAAGTCCCTTAAAAAGTCACTGCTGAGAGTGGCGGATGGCCACCGTCCTGCTGGGAAGCTGCTCTGGGTACAGCGATCGCTCAGGTGCATGGCCGGGTTCAGAGGCAGGGCCTTCAGAGAGAGCCACCCTGGAGAGCTGTCAGGGAAAGCCAGAAGGGGTGGCTCGACCGCCTCTCCCCTCCTCCCGGTGCTGGCCAAGTGACAGCTGTGTGACCTGGAGTCAGGACTTCTCTGGACTGAGGCAGCGGGGAGGGGCTGTTTCTGCAAGGATGCCCCTGAGAGCCCCCTAGGGCTCTTCAAGGCCCACACCCCACACCCCACCCCCTCAGGCACCGCCAAAGATGTCCCCTACCTCCCAGAAGCCTCTCGTCGGAGCCCGAATCTCCGCCTTCCATCTCAGCCTTGTATTTACCCTGTTCATCCCCCGTCTCACACTTGCCATGAGGATCGTCCGCAAAGAACAGCTTCAGGGACTTACAGCTCACACAGCACAGGGAAGTTGTGCGAGTCGATGAGCTCCGCACCTTCCCGGGCTGTGCAGATGTTGCCATGCCACCTTCAGGGACGTACCCGCAGGATGCGGTCTTGTGTCCGGCTCCAGGTCTGTCCCGAAGCTGCGGCTGTGTTCCTTCCCACGGTGGCATGGCCTCCCGCTGTGCTCACACCATTCAGCGCATCTGCCCCATCCCGTTTCCGGGGACACTCGGAGTCAGAGTCCTGATCCTTACTGCACTCCTGTCCTCTCCGACTCTGTTCCAGGAGCCCTCCAAGAGCACAGGGCACCGAGGGAGGGCAGACCGCGGGCGACACTGGGCAAATACTTCTGTCTGAACAGAGAGGGACGGAACCTTTGTCACAGGCAGCCAGCGTCAGCGTGCGGCCTTCTTCCCAGCACACCCATTCTCCCTCCACCTTCCCTCAGGTGTCCGGATGGGGCCCAGGAATAAAAGACTGGCGTTTGTGTTTCTCACTGGCACCGTGGGCCTTTCCGTGGGGCGGATTCTCTGCCGGGGGCCATCCTGGGTCCTGCTGGCTGTCTGGTGGCGTCCCTGCCTCTGCTCACCAGATGCCTT